ATATATGTAAAACATTTAGATTCTTGGGTATTTTTAGAACGACTTAGTTGGTATGTCATACAGATTTATTTTGCTAGCAATCTCTACTCTGGATTCTCCTCTCCCAAGCTTCAAGCATATCCAAGGAAATTTCAAATGTATAACATTAGCCAACTATGACCCCAATTCTAAGACCACTACTAAGCAAACGTCTCTGTCTCTTCCCTATAATGCTATATATATGTTCTGTGCTACTGAAATGAATACATTCATATATAAAACCAAACGAAAACAAAAGTCCATTGAGAGGTTAGTTGGCTAACTTAATTAAATGTGGAATAAACCATTTATTCATTTAACATGAAAATGAGTTGCATTCTCTATCAACCTTGGTTGGCTCAGAAAATAAAGCCTGCTTACCTTGGACACAAAACATTCTGCTATGGCCACAGGATCATTTTCACAGTTTTCCAGTTCTTGAAGAAGTTCACTAATAAAAACAAAAACACAGCCAGGAAGTGTTAGAATGTAGTCTTCTGGTCCAAGACATTTTATGTAAATTAAAAGTTTAAATGTTTTTAATGGCATCATATAATTATGATGGGAATCATATTATTACATCACTGAAGGTCTATTGTCACCGTATCCAAGGCTTAGGTAAAAGACTTACCCAAAGTCATGGGGGACCAGCAATTTAAATATGGACTGGATTAGAAACTCTCCCATCAGACATAAGCCCTGCCTAATGGTTAAGTTTCTTGGACATTTTTCATCAGTTGCACAAATGCTCAAACACATTCATTCATCAAAAAAGCACCTAGGTACTCAATGGGGTGTAAAGCAGAAGGAAGCCATCGGCAGGCAAAGTGAAATACAGTGCCTGGTTTCACTGAGTTCCCAATGCATTGGAACAATAAGACATTTGAATCACACCAACAAACTTGTCAACAGAGATAGTCCTTTAAGGGAAGGGTAAGGCTACGCCAAAGGAGGAAGTGCCTCTGCTCAAATTAAATTCATTAAGCTTTAGTGGCAGTATTATTTCATGTAACTCCATAATATTTCTTGCATGGCTATACATTTAATGAACCATTTAACCTTCCGATGCTGCACAAAGTTCTCCAAATGGAATTGCTTAGTCAAAGGGTACTCTTGGTGTTAAGTGGTATAGGCATATTTCCAAACTGCACTCTCTATGAATTGTATTAATGTATATTTTAATGTTAAAGTGCTAGACGTTAGGTATTCAGTAGAAAGATAAACAGTTCTACATGAATTACGATAAAATAGCTCCTTGCTGTATGCTTTGCATTCTCCATGGCCCCTGCCAGGAGGCAGTTCCAAGTCCTTAACTGTCCTCAAATAGGTCCTCTTTCTAAGTATTTTAACTATTTTTCAGTGTTAGCTATTATTTCTTAAGTTTTAAAATTTTGTGTGCATGAGTGTTTTACCTGCATGTATGTAAGTGTACCACATGCATGAAATGCCTACGGAGGCCAGAAGAGGGAGTAGGATCCCCTGAAACTGGAGTTACGAATGATTGCTAGCTACCATATGGGTGCTGAGAATGGAACCTGGGTCCTCTGTAAGAATAGCCAGTGCTTTTAACTGATGGGTCATCTCTCCAGCCCCTACTTCATAATTTTCTTTCTTTTATCATCATCATCATCATCATCATCATTCATCATCATTATCATCATCATTATCATCATCATTGGTCTTCGTGAGACAGAGGTTCCCTGTAGCCCCAGCTGGCTTGGGACTCACTATGTAGACCAGGCTGGCCTCAATCTCTCAGAGATCTCTCTGCCTCTGCCTCCTGAGTGCTGGGATTAAAGGTGTGCACCACCATACCATTACATCTTAATTTTCTTAAATGCCACTCCTCACCATCTTCTCAACTAGATGTATTTTGGAATCTATTTAGACTAAATGTCCAAAATTGCATCTTTGAGACTGTGAAAATATCATTCCTAGTTTAGCTTTGGCATATAACTTATTTTCCTTTCCTTTCTTGTACAATCATGATTTCCCTGGAGTTAATCTCTTTCAAATTTGTTGACTTTTTTTTTTATAAGATACAAGATTAACAAAAATGTTTATTTTTGTTCAGCAGGTAGAAAACAAACGCGGCTCACCGGCCCCATGAACAAGAACAGTAAGATTTCTCTCAATACTTCATTGGAGCCATCATCCCTGCCAAACTGTGTGCTGGGCATTGAACAAGCAATGGCTAGAGACTTCCCATGTCAGTGTCATGAGAGTCACTGAGATAAAGAAGATGGACAGAGAAGTCCTGCTCAAGAGTCATGTGCTTATGTTCTGATCATAGATGATTAATGTTACAAAATAAATAATCAACATAGCATAACATGGCCATATGATAGGAAGGTGATAAAGAAAGTGGCATGCCAGAGAGCAGCTAAGGCTGGGTGGAGGTGGAGAGTTGGGTTGTCCAACAGTAACTTCTCTGAAGAGGTGATATTGAGTGCAGTGAGACTTAGATTTAATAAATGAGGTCCCAAGTCCAAGACAGAATGAACTTGGTGTGATCTTGTGTGAAGTGTAGGAAGCCGCTGTGATTGGGAGTTGGTGAACAGAAGGGTGTGGAGATTCAGGAAGATCAGTTGCTATGAGCAAGGATTGTTTAAGCACAGCTGGGACCTCACTGCAGTAGCTCAACTCTCAGAAGCAGGACTGGTGGCTCAGAATTACAGTCAATCATAGTGGGGTGGAGACTACAGCTCTCTCACTGCCTCAACGCAACAAAGGCAACCAGGCATGTGTGTGCAGAGGGCAGAATGAATCAGAGATTGAATTTGGCATTCAGAACTAAAATTAGCTTACAGTCATTTTGTCTTCGGGATTTGGGTGTATTCTCTTTCCTCAGGGAATTAATTATTCTAAATATTTCCTCCTTTTCAAATGGGATCATGAACAAGAAAATTCTGCGATTTCCTATTTGAGCACAGGTCCCTGAGCTTGTCCTAGTGAGTAAGTAGCACAAACTCTGTTCTCTCTCTCTCTCTCTCTCTCTCTCTCTCTCTCTCTCTCTCACTTATTTTGTGTAAGGGTGTTTTGCCTGCATGATGTAAGTGTACAATGTATGTACAGTGCCCACAGACGCCAGAAGAAGGTGTCAGATCCCCTGCCACTGGAATTACAGATGGTTGTTAGCTGCCATGTGGGTGTGGGGAACTGAACTCAGTTCTCTACAAGAGCAGCCAGTGCTCTTAACTTCTGAGTCACCTCTTCAGCCCCTCTGTTTTCTTTGAAGAGTACATTATATGTGAAATTTTCTCTGTTCACTGATGTGAATATGGAAGCAGGAACTGTGCAATGACTGTGACGGTCTCATTGCTTTACACTGAGGGTCAAGAATGGGCCTCTCCCCTTCTGGCTGGCATAGACCCTAGGCAGCACTTCCTTTCCCTGCCACTTAATTAGGTCATTTTAACTGCTGCTTCCACAGAGACCCATGTGCAGTTGGTACAGAAAATATTCCATTAGTCATACAGACACATTAGCCTTTAACTCTAGTTAACAAAAGCCTGTCTACAAAAAGATTCCTACCACTGTACAAAAGTGGGAGAGAGTCTGGGGGAATGAAAACTCACAAGGAAACTGCCAACTGCTTCTCCCTTGATATACGTTCTCATGATTCACTTCCTAAATAACATTTCAAGAAAAAGCAGAGTCCAAAGACTTTATTTAAAAAAAAAGACATAGGTAGCTTATTCTGTAAAGATTTCACTAGCCCCTTGAACAAAATTAATTGCATGGTCCTCAGCAGACTCAAAATGTTCTGGGCATTCCTTGAGTCTGTGACTTAGTGCCCTGTTACACAATGGTGCCATTCATGTTTGAATGGCAAGGCTCAGCCCAGCATCTCACACACAGTAACAGCTCAATATAGGTATAGCAAATGAAGATAACAAGCCAAAGAAAAAAAGAAATCTTCACTTTGAGCTTCCGAGGAAGGGAAAAGGTCTTCGATGATTTTAATCTGCCAACAAACAATTTAGACATAAAAATTCAATTTGTAGGAACTGTCTTTACTCCTTCAACTCTTTATTCTTAAAGAGAAAGTCAAGTTACAGTTTAGATAACTTCTCTCTTCCAGGAGACTTGGTATTTTTTTTCTTTGGTTGACATTCAAAAAACAAAAAATAAAAGCTTTGGGATCTGGGGGATCAAGTGGTTTCTTTTAACTAAACATGTTTCCTAACCATTTAGAGATTTATTCCAGACAATAAACTAGAGACTTAAATTTCAAGGCCAGGACAGGGATTACAGACAAAGAGATCTGGCTACCAAGAAGGAAACAAAAATGAAATATTGATTATACCCTAAATCATGCTCAGAGATTTTGTGAAACAAGAATTTAAATCCCATCATATGCCAAAGTTGAAAAAGAAGACAATAAAATCAGAAATCACACAATTATCATTTATGAATATGCATGGAAAATAAAGTTAATCAGTGTGCAAACATAGAAAATATCAGGAGCAGGTAGGGTTATTCCAGTAATGTTACGTATGTGTGATCCAGGTCAGAATGTCTACCAATGTAGTTCGCTACATCACGAATAGAAGGAGTAAAATCACATGCTAATTTTATTAAAGGTAAGCAATGCATTCAATGAAATTCAATAGTCACAGTATTCTCAATAAAATTCTAGCAAAAGAGATACAAGTTTCTCTCTCCGTTCCATTATTCTTAACACATAAATGAGGAACACTTCTACTGATGTCAAAAGAATGTAAGAATAGCAACACGGTATGAGACGATGTATCCAAAGCAGTGGACCAGAAAACATGCTTTATTCAAAATAATGTCAATACTACTACAAAGTCTAGAAATGACTTCTTAAAGCTACATGTATCCATATGGAAGAGAAATGATTAAGCATCCTTATAGGACATGTAAAGGTTGATGAAGTCAGGTGTATATCTGTAATCCCAGAACTTGGGAGTTAGAGGCATAAAGATTAGGAATTCAGGTCATCTTTGGCTATATACCAAATTCTAGGCCAGTCTATTACAGTAAACCCTGTCACAAACAAACAAACCAAACCAAAAAACAATAAAACAGTTAATCAAAGAGATACAGAGCTATTGACAAGGTTACTTGGTCTTGTAAAGATGTCATTTTTGATTTCATATTTAGAAAAACTCCAACAGAGTGCTTCATGAATTTTGAAAAACTGAAGAAAAAATTCTTGCTAGAACTGACTCACGAGAAGGTAACCTAGTGTCCAAGAAGAGCAAAGAGGGTTTAATAATGAGAATAGCACAGCACAGGGGAAAGCTGGATGAGTAGATGTGAAAGTGGATGTAGAGCCCCAAACAGAGCCACATACCCAGGTAAACTTGATATACAAAGGATGTGGAAGCACAAATCAGAGTAGAGAGTTTATGTATTTCTATTAGTGACAATGGGACCATTGGCTAGGCATGTGAAGTAAGTTTATATGGCTTTCCATATACT